TATTCCCCCTCCAGCAGCCTTGTGTGCAAGCTGTATAAAAGCTCGGTTATCATTAAGGAGCCATTCTCCCCGTGACAATGATAAAACAGCCTCAGCAGATACTGCATCTGCGGCTCACAGGAGCCAAATGAACCAATTTAAGGAAGCGTCACTATGACAAATTACAGTAATGCGGGATGTCTTACGCAGCAAATGCTTGTTGTTCATGAAAAAGAAAAACAGCAATGTAAAATTTGTCAGGGTGGATGTTTCTTTTCGGGGGAAAGCTCGTACTGAATGAAGCTTCAGGAGGCTGCTTATTTTAATATAACATCCACTTACAGGGCTTCATAATGAACCTAATGATAATGTATGAACTCGTGGGTGTTATTTTAACTCATTAGCACAGCTTTGTTTTAATTTACAGTACAGCTGTTTTCAGTTAAACACACAGATCTGATGGCTGATAGGAAACACTGGTTAAATATTGTCTGTGGCTTCTTCGACACTTTGGCCAGCAGCCACCCTTGTCTGACAGGTCTAATGGCCACTCTGATGAGTTGAATTGGCCTTTTCAGACCACACTGGCTGCTTGAACTGGACAATGAAAATGCAACACTTGCTGCCAAATAACAACAGTAAACAACACAAAACCATGATGCTGAATTAGTCAGTCAGTCCGCGTTTTAACCTGAGATTCGATACATCTGAATATAACCATGTGACATGTAATTTAGTGCCAAAACATGTCGTTTTATTAACAGAACGATGATTTTAAAGCCAATACATAGACATTTTGGGAGCTTACTTGCTCTCCAGAGTTAGAGAGGATCGATGCTGGACAGGTCTCAGAGTGGTATTGATCTTTTCATCTGTCGGAGACAAAGCAAATAAACGTTTTTCCCCAAAATGTCGAACTGTTCCTTTAGGTCATCTATCAAGTTGAAAATGCGAAAACATTGGCTCTTGAATGTGAGGATTTGCCTCTTTTCTCTCACTTCTATCAACATACAGAAAATCATTGAGATTTAGTCTTGTGGTTGAGTAAACCATGCAATTTTAAGTGTCATTTTCCACAATTTTCAGACATTAAAGATTTATAATGGAGTCAGAGCTCAGAAGATGAATTATTAATAAATTTGTGCCAGAATTTACTGCTTTTGTTTGTTTTATTTGATAGTAAATTGAATATATTTCAGTATTAGACTGTTGTGATAGTCTTTTCCCACCGTTTTCTGACATTTTAAAGACCAAATGATGAATTGACTGATCAAAAAACATTTTCAGAGTCATTTATAACGTGTTAAAATCAGTCAGAAATCATAAATTGACTGAACAACAAAAACTAATCAGCCCTTGAACCCAAATGTTATTCATACATCCAAGGTTTGGTTACAACTTTGGGGGTGACACTTAATGTCCTGCATTCTAGTGAATTCTATGCACCAATTTATGACGTAAATGTCTTTAATTTATGTTTCTGAAAAGATGCACATGTTCTAAACGCTGACAGGACGTGTCCCCTGCGTCCCCGTGACATCTACTCCTTTGTTTACATTCTGCATGCACCATGTATTCCAGGCCCAAACCATCCTGTCAGGATTTCTGATGAATAGAGGCTTCAACTCCAGCTGCTGACAACATCTTAGCATCTTCAAAAAAAAGCTTTGCATTTTTTAAAACTGGATCTCACATCTCTGCTGTGAGTGGCAGCATCAAACGCAAGCATAACACCAACTAATCTGGGGCAAAAGAAGCACCTTTGAGTTGTAATAAGATCAGCACCTTGTGAACATTCTGCCAGATATCTATCCAAAACCAGCCTAGCAGACATACAGCAGCATCACTGTATGTCACCCCCTGGATAAAAAGCCCTGGGATATCCTGGTGACGCCACATGAAACTACCAGACGAGGTCATCATTTATTAACAGCTGACATATTACTAGCCTATAGGACAATTAAAATGATTCACCTCAGGTCACACCTGTGAGAAAGCCTCTCAGTTTAAGGTAAAGTCAAACCAGGTGATCAAAACCACTCCTGCCCCTCCATATCATGACATGATAGGTTTCACATCTCAGTCAGCAGTTTAATGAATAAAACATATTCTCAGCAGATGGATCCAGCTGAGTTGACTGCAGGTTAATGTGCCGTCGAAACCTGCGGAGGCTCCAACAAGACACAAGAAAAGGCGCTTTTTGCTGCATTGCACCTGACGCGCTCAACTTTACCCGGGGAAGTGGGGCTGTCTGGTCCCGCTGATGTGTGACTAATCCTCCGAGGTCGTGGTCGTGATGGTGGACAGACAGACACCCCCCCCTCACACCCCCCAGGAAACACAAGGAAAGGATAGAATAACATATCATGACCAGCTGGGGGACAAGCAGGCAGCGGCTGACTGTGCCATATGCCACAGGAAACGCGGTGGCGGTGTGGTGTCCCGGTGTGTTGCCGGCTGACCTGCAGAGCGGCGGTGTCTTACCTGGTAGCTGCGGACACGGAGGCGGGGAGCCGGCGAGGGGAGCACGGCAGGCTGGGAGAGTCCGTCCCGGGATCAGAGCACCGTACGTGAGAGAGTCGGTGCGTCTCGGCACCGTCTGAAGGCTGAGCTCCACAGCCAGGGTGTTCCCGACAGGAGGGGGCGTGGTGTGTGTGTGTGTGTGTGTGTGTGTGTGTGTGTGTGTGTGTGTGTGTGTGTGGTGTGTGTGTGTGTGTGTGTGTCAGGCATGCACGCAATCCTCACAGAATAAGCTTATTTCTGACAATGCGACAGTTGTTCCAGCAAACTAAGACTCCTGTTGTTTTAATGAAAAACACTTAATGACCTAATTAAAGTGGGTCATATTTTATACACTGCAGCACTGGGCTCAAGATAGGTTGAGGGAAACTCCTTATTGTCACCAGCAGGACATTTTATATTATGGATTTCCCTGCTGAGATCCAGTGGGAGTCTGTATTTCTGAGTTTATGGCCAGAGCTCTGCTGCAGAGTGACAGTTTATTTCATAGCCAGGTGTAGCTGGAAGAAATGAGCTGGTCATTTTGGACAAACAGGGCTGTGAAAAGAGCTGAAGATATGGGGGAAACACGAATAAAAGAAAATAATAATAAAAGGATCTTATTCCATTATCAGAACAGATTCTTTAGACGTTGATAATAATGTGTCTGTCTTTATTGTGACCTGTTTTCTTGCTTTTACTTTGGCACATTTTTGTTTTTATGTATGTTGCTCTCTGTGTTGCAGACTATCAGGCAATGTAGTTTAATGATGTCCTGCACAACACATCTTATCTTATGTTCCCTTTTTTTGTAATCATTGCATGCATTATTTAAATATTTGTTAGGGTGACAAGGTCCAAAAACTGCTTTTGGCTAACTATGGTACATTTATTACAGTCATTATTCATTAGTCCACTGTTCATGCTAAATAAATAACACATAAAATCAATAAATATAAATGTCCATCACATCGTGTTATATCATTACATCATGATAGGTGCTGAACCTTTACTCAAAAGAACACGTGCAACATATTATCACAAGTGGAAAACCATTTTACATGTGAAAATTTCCCATTTTAACAGCAAGTAGAAACAACTATAAACAGTAAAACTTCAATTAAAAGTCGAGTTCCAATTAAATGCCCAGTCACAGCCACACATTTTGACAAATAAAGGCCTGTCTCAATTAGAGGCTTGGTTTGGTTGCCAAGCAGTTCATTTTTAAAGAATTTCTATGGATATATAAAACAGGCTGCTGGCTACCCACTGGATTAGATTCTCCTCAGTTCAATAGTTCAGTTCATTTAGAAGACTGCAATTAATTCTGATTTACCAGCATGACGAAAAACAAATGGTGACTCCCTCCCCTGAAGCTGTCATAAAGTCAGAATATGTGTCCATTCCAAGATTACCTGGTTAGTTATTCATATTCCTTTAGTCTGGAAGGATCAAAAGAATCAATGTTTTTCATAAAAATGAATCCAAGTGGTAAGTACTGTTTTAACAGGATAAAGTGGTGTTGGGTCAGTGTGCCGGGTGCCGTTAATTTTTAAGTGCCTTAAAAAGAGTGTCATAACACTCTCTCTGATGCCTTGTCTGTGAGAGCTAGATTGAATGAATGACTTGTCACTGATATGTTATTCAAATCTTATTTTTTATACAAGTAATATTCATACTGGTTTGAACAAATAATTTCATTGTGTTTTCAGATCTTTGCTGAGCAACCGATTCATGTGAAAGCAATTAAAGGCCTGTCCCATTGACTTCGGTGATTTATGCAAATAATAGCCTGAGCTACTAATTAAGTTTTTACAGAACACATATGACATCTTATGTAAAACACATGTCACAGGGCTATGAGATATTCATGGTATGATAACTATCTCAGAAAATAGTATCATGCTACTACAGAACTATTATTATCATCAGGTACAATGACCCTTAAAGAAATGAAAACAGGAGGGTTAATAAATGATTCGAATAAAAAATGATTTATTATTATGATTTAAGCTTAAAATCATTTGTATTAATGGAAGTATGTCTAAAAAGTCTCCCTTTTGAAAATAAGTAAAGATTATGTGACCAGCTGCATTGTTTTTCCAGTACTGTAGATACATGGTATGATAACCATACATTTTAATACCATGGTTTTCCTTGAAATTGGTATGCTGCTGCAACCTTACACAGGGCACACATTTATATAGGTACATATGGATGAGTTCTACAGTTTGTTGAAAATTAAATGAAACCGTATTCCACTTAAAGTCATGTGAAATACAGTTTTCAACATGTGTTTATATGGGTTTCCTGAGTTATAATAACGTCCTTATGAATCAGTCTGAAGCATAGTCTGAACTCAGTCCACAGCTGATAAATAAGGACAGTATTTTTACATGAACAAGTCGCCCTCTAATGTTGATGCTCGCCTGCAGTATCCAGTTTCAGCCACAGTGAGGCGACATAATAAAACCAGTCACCAGCCTCAGGAGGAGCAGTGACGTCTTGTCTGTGTTCTTTGACTCTGAGCGGCAGGAAGTAAACAGGAACAATAACTGAGCCGGTGATAATACAGCTAATACACCTCTGAATCAGCGTCAGTGACGATGGAGGAATATAACTCTGGAGATGAGGTGAAGTTGTTGAATTATATTTAATTTAAATATAGACAGCTCCGCATATTACAGAAAAAAGACGCCTTGGTTCGTTGACATTAGCTGTGCAAGCTAGCTTTAGTAGCTGAAGCTAACGGTTGTTAACATCGGGGTGTGGTCATTATATTAACTATATTATATTTATATTTACAATATTAGCAGCCTGTTAAGGTCAGAACCAGCAAATTACACTTACATCGATAAATAGCACATTTATTTTAGCACATATGTAAAGAAATGGACATAATAATAGTTCTCCCAACCCCTTATTAAAAAGAAAATATGCCATTAAATTAAATTATTTCTGATCCTGAATTCATGTGGTATTTTTAATACATAGATATTTTATCCCATTTCTGTCTGTAGTCAGTTGAGCCCGAGAAGTGCCATGGAAAAAAAGTGGTTAATTCTTGCGTTTGACTTATGTTCCCTCAAGATAGAAGTTGTTCCCTCGAGATATACAGTACAGGCCAAAAGTTTGGACACACCTAGGAAGCTATGTGGTGATGTAGCTATAGCTAGCTAAAGCTAAATCTAGATTTACGTCGATATTACCCTAACTTTTACCTTTAACTGAAAAATCTAAATGTTAATAAACCAAAGTCCTGGGCATTTAGTTCATTGTTCTTAATAACTGAATGAAGCAGTGGCTAAAGAGGAAAAAAAACAAACAGCTAAACTCCTGCTAACGGTAACTAGCTTAGCAGAGTAGCAGGAACTACCATCTCCTTGGTGAGGTTCATGCGATTTGGCGTGGTTAAACTCATAGATATATACAGTACAGGCCAAAAGTTTGGACACACCTTCTCATTCAATGCGTTTTCTTTATTTTCATGACTATTTACATTGTAGATTCTCACTGAAGGCATCAAAACTATGAATGAACACATGTGGAGTTATGTACTTAACAAAAAAAGGTGAAGTAACTGAAAACATGTTTTATATTCTAGTTTCTTCAAAATAGCCACCCTTTGCTCTGATTACTGCTTTGCACACTCTTGGCATTCTCTCCATGAGCTTCAAGAGGTAGTCACCTGAAATGGTTTTCCAACAGTCTTGAAGGAGTTCCCAGAGGTGTTTAGCACTTGTTGGCCCCTTTGCCTTCACTCTGCGGTCCAGCTCACCCCAAACCATCTGGATTGGGTTCAGGTCCGGTGACTGTGGAGGCCAGGTCATCTGCCGCAGCACTCCATCACTCTCCTTCTTGGTCAAATAGCCCTTACACAGCCTGGAGGTGTGTTTGGGGTCATTGTCCTGTTGAAAAATAAATGATCGTCCAACTAAACGCAAACCGGATGGGATGGCATGTCGCTGCAGGATGCTGTGGTAGCCATGCTGGTTCAGTGTGCCTTCAATTTTGAATAAATCCCCAACAGTGTCACCAGCAAAACACCCCCACACCATCACACCTCCTCCTCCATGCTTCACAGTGGGAACCAGGCATGTGGAATCCATCCGTTCACCTTTTCTGCGTCTCACAAAGACACGGCGATTGGAACCAAAGATCTCAAATTTGGACTCATCAGACCAAAGCACAGATTTCCACTGGTCTAATGTCCATTCCTTGTGTTTCTTGGCCCAAACAAATCTCTTCTGCTTGTTGCCTCTCCTTAGCAGTGGTTTCCTAGCAGCTATTTGACCATGAAGGCCTGATTGGCGCAGTCTCCTCTTAACAGTTGTTCTAGAGATGGGTCTGCTGCTAGAACTCTGTGTGGCATTCATCTGGTCTCTGATCTGAGCTGCTGTTAACTTGCGATTTCTGAGGCTGGTGACTCAGATGAACTTATCCTCAGAAGCAGAGGTGACTCTTGGTCTTCCTTTCCTGGGTCGGTCCTCATGTGTGCCAGTTTCGTTGTAGCGCTTGATGGTTTTTGCGACTCCACTTGGGGACACATTTAAAGTTTTTGCAATTTTCCGGACTGACTGACCTTCATTTCTTAAAGTAATGATGGCCACTCGTTTTTCTTTAGTTAGCTGATTGGTTCTTGCCATAATATGAATTTTAACAGTTGTCCAATAGGGCTGTCGGCTGTGTATTAACCTGACTTCTGCACAACACAACTGATGGTCCCAACCCCATTGATAAAGCAAGAAATTCCACTAATTAACCCTGATAAGGCACACCTGTGAAGTGGAAACCATTTCAGGTGACTACCTCTTGAAGCTCATGGAGAGAATGCCAAGAGTGTGCAAAGCAGTAATCAGAGCAAAAGGTGGCTATTTTGAAGAAACTAGAATATAAAACATGTTTTCAGTTATTTCACCTTTTTTTGTTAAGTACATAACTCCACATGTGTTCATTCATAGTTTTGATGCCTTCAGTGAGAATCTACAATGTAAATAGTCATGAAAATAAAGAAAACACATTGAATGAGAAGGTGTGTCCAAACTTTTGGCCTGTACTGTAAATCATTCCCCCGAAATGTGAGTCATTCGCTTGAGATTTAATTTGTTCCCTCAAGATATAAGTCGTTCTCTGAGATATAAGTCGTTATCTTGACATAAGTTGTTCCCTCGAAATATAAGTTGTTCCCTCTAGGTGTAAGTTATTACCTCGAAATATAAGTTGCTCCCTCTAGGTGTAAGTTATTACCTCGAAATATAAGTTGTTCCCTCTAGGTGTAAGTTGTTACCTCAAGATACAAGTTGTTCACCCAAGATAAGTCGTTCCCTCAAGATACAAGTCGTTCCCCAGAGATACGTCATTATCTTGACATATAAGTCGTTTCCCCGAGCTGTTCCCTCAAGATATAAGTTGTTCTCCCAAGATTTAAGTTGTTACCTTGAGATTTAAGTCGTTTCCTCGAGATATAAGTCATTTCCCCAAGATATAAATCGTTTCCCAGAGATATAAGTCGTTTCCACGAGATATAAGTTGTTTCCCCGAGATATAAGTCGTTTCCCAGAGATATAAATCGTTTCCCCGAGATATAAGTCGTTTCCTCGAGATATAAGTCGTTTCCCCGAGATATAAGTCGTTCCCCTGAGGTAAAAGTTGTCCCCTCAAGAATATAAATTGTTCTCCCAAGATTTAAGTTGTGTCCTTGAGATAGAAGTCGTTTCCTTGTTTTGGTTCATTCGTGAGATAAGTGTAACATTACAGAGAACCAGCACAACAGACCAGCTTGTCTTCAAGGGTGAAGTTAGTGAAATATTTGATGTCTGCCTTTTTTCGCGGCTGATATCTTCAACAGCTGTGTACCAGAGCTGCATTTTCTCCCAGTTTTTCAATATGTTGGAAAGCTAATTTAGGCAGATATTTAACAATTTTAGTCAACTTGAAATAATCAAAAATGACAAGGCAGTTAAGAACGCAATGAGCTGAATGTCTTTCCAATGCGCCTGTGACTAGGCGTAGTTAGGGACCGTCCTAAAAGTGCAAAATGACCCATTTCAATATTCAATAACTTTTTTGTTTTTCAACATAGAAATATCAAGCCACCGCAATTTCAGAGAGTGACAGCATATTTCAGCACTTCTCATAGTGTGAATTTGTAAAATAGATCGATAAATAATTAAAAAATGTAGCAAATCATAAACAACCTATTTCATTAATTGTGCACATCTCAAGGTTGTGATGTCAGTAGTTGCTCATTTGTGAATACACTGATGTCACATCACATGCCATGTCTCTGTGACATCTTTTACAACTTTCACAGCTGTTAGTTTGTTGAAAAAGCCAGTAGCAAATCTCTCAATGTAATGAGCTTTTGCTTTGATATGTATGCATAATTCAAGGTTGTAATTTCAATAGCTTGCTCATTTAAGCACATAGATTAACCAAAATGAGGGAATTAATCAAACAATCTCGAGGCCACACATTAGTAAAGTGAGGCCTCACAGAAGCATCTCAAGCAGTCGATTTAGTAAAACGTGGCCTTGATTTATTTATCTTTTTCTCTCCATTGTCTTGTTACCTGTTATTCATTGATTTACTGTTTTGTATTGTCATGCTCTGCATTACGTTTTTATCTATTGAAAAACTATTGAATAATTTAATACACTTATTTAAGTCTGAAATTATTTCAGTTTTTTTAATGTCACCCACTGTGACATGCACAGTGACTGTTACAGAAAAAAAAACAGTCTATAAGTGTGTTTCTAAAACAACAGATGTCCTCACTAACCCTGTTTTTCCTTCTTCTTTAAAAACAAAATGACTGCAGGTTGTCTTCAACGCTGATGAGGTCCATATCTCAGTCAAAGAGGTACCTTTTCACTCCCTGAAACAATAAATATTTTATTGTAAATCCACTGTGTGGTGTGATGACGCCGGTGTGTTTTTTTCTCAGTGTATTGAAGGTGTCATCGGTGGAACAGATTACAACCAGAGTAAAGTGAACCAGTGGACGGCCAGTATAGTGGAGCACTGTCTGACTCACCTGGTGAAACAGGGACGGCCATTCAAATACATAGGTAAAACAACTGCCCTTCATCTTATATACCAACATGAGAGCTCAGGACGTAATGTTGACATGCAGAGGTTTTTATGTGACTGTGAGTAAAACCTCTCCCCGATATTTATTTTGCAGTAAACTGTGCGATCATGCAGAAGAGCGGCGCTGGTCTCCACACAGCCAACTCCTGCTACTGGGACACCGCCACTGATGGTGAGAGATGACTCATCATTTTTAAATTTGTCAATATGATACCCCAGTTTCAGTACAGATACAGATATGGTGTACCATTGGTGTACCATCTTACCTGACATTCCGGTCTTAATCTGTGACTTTCTCCTAAAATTACGAGTTTAATTTAATAGATTTATGAGTTTTTTTACTTAAACATGGCACTAATCGTCCTCCATATGCACTATATAAACTGCATTAAAACACAGGCTTATAACATTGTCAGATTTCATAAATTGCTCTCACATTGTCACAGTGTCCTCAACACTGCCAACATTTCGGGTAGAGCTAAAAACAATGATTATTTTCATATTGAGTAATCTGTCGTTTATAATTATTGTTTTTGTTTTTTTTTGATGAATTGATTAGTTCTTTAAATTCCCAGAGCCCATACTCATGTCCTCAACCTGCCTGTGTTGTCTGATTAAGGGCCCTGACACTCCTAATCCCACTGTCAGCTGTTAGTCAGTATTGAGCCATTGGTGAGCGTCTGTCACCATGGTTTTTGTGGTGTGTCCTACACCGTTAACGCTTGTCAGTCCTTGTCAGCTGTTTTTTGGATGATGCAGCATGTTGAATTGGTGTTGGAGCCTGTGGAACAGCTCAGAGCACGAGAAGAGAAACGGAAACAAGGATCAAACACATGGCTAAAGTCAAAAACCAACAGACATTTAACTCACAATGACACAAAACAGAGAAAGGCAGATCATTTTCAGGTTTCAGAGACTTCACGCAGAAAATATGAGAATTTTTTGCATTGCACATCTGTCTGTCCTGGGAGAGGGATCCCTCCTCACTTGCTCTTTCTGAATATTTTTCTCCCTGTTAAAGTTTTTTTTTCTTGGTTTTTCCTGATCTGTGGTGAGGGTCCAACAACAGAGGGATATTGTGTGCTGTAATGCCCTCTGAGGCACATTGTGATTTGTGATATTGGGCTTTATAAATTGAATTGAATTGAATAGTATCATATATTGTGGCAGTATAATACTTATTTTTTAAAAAAACAACTTCTGACAATTCAGTTTTATTAATGGTTCCAGCTCTAATTGTTGGCTCTGATGAGCTTTATTGAATAACTTGTGGGGAAACATGCTTTATAAATAACATCATACAGAGTAATTTCTCCTGCTTGTTCGTGTCTTTCAGGGAGCTCCACAGTGAGGTGGGAGAATCGCACCATGTACTGTGTGGTCAGTGTGTTTGCTGTTGCCGTGGCACTGTGAGCCGCTGTCTCTCTCTCCTCACATCTTTATATCTGAAGCTTGAAACGGTGCCGTGACCAAGAAGCCATGACGATCCTCTGATGATACCCCTCTGTATGTACCAGTAGCTTATTTCTCTCCTCAGGCTCGAACAACACAACGTCAGTAAGAGCTTGTGAGGCGACAGCCTGCTGTTAGTGTGAGAAAATGCTGCTTTGTAGGGACCAAGGCCAGAATTCAACCCTGAAGCAGAACATGGTAAAAGAAGTTACATCTCAAACATCACATGCTCTTTGGTCCGCAGATGTTCAGAAGTGAAAACTCATTTTTTTCTCCATATGCCCCAGGTGTTGTAATCTGTGCATAATGTAAAACTTGATTAGTTTTTTTGCCATGCTAACGGCAAGACTTTGGGGCTGGCAGTGTGTCTGTCCAGACTGAAGCTTCTCAACTATTGGATGGTTTGTCATAAAATTTGTGACACACATTGAAGCCCCTGGCAGTATAGGTTATAGTAAATTTGGTGATCCAGCATTTTGGTTTATGATCAAATACCTGCAGATCTAACATCATTCCCAGCAGCCTCAGCTGTACTTTGTGTTAGCATGCTAACACGCTAAACTAAGATGGTGTACATGGTAGTCATTGTAGCTGCTAAACATAAGCATGTTAGCCTTGACATTAGCATTTAGCTCAAAGCACTGCAGTGTCTAAGTACAGCCTCACAGAGCTGCTAGCATGGCTGTTGTCTTTATTTGTCTCCTTCAGTACATTCCCAAATAAAACAGTTGATGTAGTTTGGTATTTAGGAAAAGTCTGACTGTTTTAGTATCTACCTGACTACTTGTATAAAGTGTCTCTAATAGTCGACATTAATGTTTTAATGACTGGTCTGTATCTGTGCAGATGTGAAAGTGTGTATTTCCAGGATGTTGGAGTTTAATGTTAAGAACTGTTGAGACTAATGCACTTTTTCTACCTTTTCTTCTGTAGAAATCCTTGAATTGTTCTGTAAGACTGAGTTCATGAAGGTTGTTTAATAAATTAATTTATTGGAACATAAATATTGCAGTCTTTGAATGTGTTAATAATCCAGTTTTTGCATCTGAGTGAGATTTGATCTCTACAATCCTAGATGTTATTTGAGGGCCACATTATTGTACTTCATTAAAAGTAAACTAAACACTGAAAAAAATAGGTGTAAAAAAACATTTTAATTAACTGAAATTAAAGAAAATAAACAGAAAAAGGAAATTAAGTGAAACAATGTTGTGGACTTTAAAACTAAAATAAAAAAATATCCATATACAGGAAATATCTCGAGGTTTAGTCTCTGTCAATTTGGTCAAATTTGTCAACACATCAAGCACGAGGAGGCGTTGGTGCTTGTTTATTGAGACTGGGATGTCTACATGAATGTAGCCTCGCGTCACCAGGCTCTTCAAGAGAAGAAGAGAAGAGCCTGGTGTCTATTCACTCTGAATTTTGTCAGGATTCTGGTTCCGGTCTAGGGAGCGGATGCGGTATTCACCAAATTCACCAAACTAAAAGTGTTCACCATAGTAAAACTTTAAATTCTGGCGCACCATCGATTTGGGGTGATGAGGGGCGTAAGAAAATTGATTAACTTAATGGCTTGGGGCTTTTCTTGTAAATTATATTCTTTGAAATTAAAAGTTTCACCGCATTTTTATTAGCTTGGTGCTTTTATTTTTACGGAAAGGCACATCCATCGAATTCCGGATCCTGTCTCTCTCGCCCTGGTTCCGTTTCCTTACCAAAACGGCCTCTAACGGCCCCAGACTAACATGAATGTGAGTCAGCTGCCTTCAGGTGTTGCGTTGGTATTGTAACACCTTCACTGAACTTTTTAAATCTTGCCCCTGACAAATATCCATCCATCCATCCATCCATCCATTTTCATCCACTTATCCGGGACGGGTCGCAGGGGCAGACATCCCTCTCCCCAGCAACACTTTCCAGCTCCTCCCGGGGAACTTCAAGGTGTTCCCAGGCCAGATGAGATATATAATCCCTCCAGAGTGTTCTGGGTCTGCATCCGGGGCCTCCTACCTGTGGGACATGCCTGGAAGACCTCCAATGGGAGGCGCCCGGGAGGCATACTGATCAGATGTCCGAACCACCTCAACTGACCCCTTTCAGCGTGAAGGAGCAGCGGCTCTACTCCGAGCTTACCCTATTTCTAAGGCTGAGCCCAGCCGCCCCATGGAGGAAACTCATTTTGGCTGCTTGTATGTGCCACAAATATCCCCATATTAGGAAAAAAAAATCATACTGAAACTAATAAAAATTAAAAAAAACTAAACACTTTTTAACAATAAAAACTAAAAACAAAAAGGCAAATCCACTCTGGAAACTAAATGAAAAATAAAACGAAATAAAAATACACACTAATCAAAATTACAAAACTGTAATAACAGTGTGATGATAGCAGACTTGACACAAAGGAGACAAATGTTACTGACGATGCAGTTTGGGTGTTTGTCCACTAGATGTCAGCACAAGACTGTATATGGCAACAGCTCAGCTAAAAACAAAACAGCACTGACAATTTTCACATATAAATATAAATTTATTTTGATTTTTAATTAGGATTTTATCTTATATTACTCTTATCTTGCTCTGTACGAGAATGTTCGATGTGTACAATAGATTTTCCATTTTTTTTTGGCTTATCTCATTTGTACAAACATTAGGAGCATTCATTTGATACCCGAGGTTTTCATCCCTCTGCAGATACATTGCAAAAAGGAGCAGGTGCAAAACAGACAACACTGACATTCTCTCTCACACACACTGTTACGCATTAAAGGTTGAGAATAAGCAAAAATACTTGTTACAGTTCCAGTTTTTCAGTTAGATATAATTTAGTGTGCACACGGTGTAAATATCCTAACTAATGAGACACACAGACGCAGAGCTGACAGACGTGACAAGCATGAATTAGAAATTAGCAAATACATCATACAGTGCTCAACAGCTGAACCAAAGCCACTTAAATCCTTTTTTTTTGTAAACGTGCAAAAACGTTGGAGATGTCCGTGTTTTACAGGTAACATGTTTGGTGATCAAACGGGCTCTTTTTATTAAACAATGTGTGGAGATTCATATCTCATCGTCAAGCACAAACACATCACAGAAGCAGCGCGTATTTATGATAAAGCTCTTATCAAGGAGTAAAAAAAGCTGATTGCTTGCAGCCATAAAACTAGATGGGGGGGTTCAGAAAAAACCCTGTACAAAACAAACCCCCCTCACCCCTGCAGGAAGTCATCTGAGGCTCCACACATGCACACCTCCATGCCAAACAGATACTAAATACAATCAATTCAAACGCATGGCGCCTTGTGATCAGTAATGCAGCATATTAGTGGACACAGTCTCCAGAACTAAAGACGCAGTGGTGATGTCCGTGTTTTTATATTTGTATTAAAGCCTGCAGGATGATGGGCTCAGGATGTTGGCTGATGACTCAGGTGAGCACCACCTCTGCAGCCAGAATACATCTCCAGTTAAGGACACATTTGCTTCACGTAGGAGGAACAGAGTGGTAGAAAACAGAGTTGAGATGGATATATGAAAGGATTCAAAGTGTAAACTCATGTGGCACTTAAAAGGTCACAGAGGGTGTGATAACAGTCGCTCCTCTGGATGGCACGTGATGCTTTAAGCGTTGCAGGATACACTGTGGTTAATGTCACCATTGATTCCACCACATATATTATTGCCCATTTCATTAGGAGTTTCACAGATTGTGTCGTTGAGCATGTCGTATGTTGTTTCATTAGGCATGTCCTCTGTGGTGTCGCTGGCTGAGTCGTGGGCCCCGTCATCAGCCGGCTCTATGCGCGTGGTCGGGCTGGGCGACTTCCCCATCGGCCTGTTCTGTGGTGAAGCAGAGTTGCACATGAGACAGAGCAGGGAGGAGCAGTTCCACAGGTTGTGGGTCATGCTGGAGGAGAAGAGCCTCCGACATGGATGACAGAACTGGTAGAAGACCAGCATGAAGAAGATGGCGATGGCGTAGGCGACCAGCAGCTGCAGCACCAGCAGTGGGGCGCAGATGAAGTTGTAGAAGTCAGTTTTGTGGATGTACCAGAGCAGGAGCAGTGAGGCGTTCTCCACAAAGCGCAACATGTAGTACACGGCCATGCGATACCAGTTCTGGGACTTGTTGATGAGGTCTGGGTCGTTTAGTTTCACCTGCACGGCCGACCAGCAGAACATGTTGATGCCGGCGTAGAGGAAGGTGAGCAGGCAGAGCACGATGGTGGTTCCCACCCTGGTCAGAGTTTTTTCTATGTTCTCGGGGAATGGTGAATGGCTCTGCCAGAACAGGATCCACGGGTAGAGGAAGAAAACCAGGAAGTTAAGCAGGACAACAGGCAGGACCCAGAGCTGCAGCACAGAGCTGAACAGAACCAAAACCACCACACGGGTGGCGATCTCAAAGCTCCTCCACAGGAAGATGCACAGGTAAGCCACGGGCCGGACGTCCACTTCATAGTCGTCATATTTGATCTTAATGGCCAGGATGTTGCAGCGCAGCGCTCCGTACACGATGGACAGGAGGGAGATCACCATCAGTGTGCCTGGCAGTGAAGAAGAGACAGAAATATGAGGACAACATCAAGTCTATCTTCTCAAGTCCAGGTTGATTTTGGCCGACTTTCAATGCATTCATTTTCTCATTCATCATCTCATTTTGTCAGTTTAACAAGGTTTAAAGTGATAGTTTGGATTTTTTGAAGTGGGGTTGTATGAGGTACTTATCCATAGTTAGTGTATTACCTGCAATAAATGGCAGTCAGCACACCCTGCAGGAGTACCACCAAGGAAGCTATGTAATATACTGCTGTGGAAAGGGGGCAGCAGCAACACAAATTTCAGCCACCTAGAAAAATCAATATCACTTTAAGTGCACGCTATATTTAAAGTATTATCACACTTTATCTTGCTGTCAGACAGCTTCAGTTCAGTGTCTATGCTCTCATCAAAGCCACCAGACTCCATTGGCAAAAACAGTAATTTTAGCTCAGTGAACACAGGAGCCTGATGTTGTTGTGTGACTTTGGTGAATCAGAACTAACCCTTTTAAACGCCAAAAGTCACACAATAACACAAACAAATTAACCAATCAAGGCAGCTGTAGACAAGAAACTCCTGTGTTTAGCAGTTAAATTACTGTTTTCTCAATGGAGTCTGGTTTTGAAGAGAGTAGTGTAACGGTTTCTGTTCAATGCCAGAAATCGCTGTCTGCCAGTAAGATAAAGCCGCGACAATGTCCTAAACATAGTGTACACTAAAACTGATGTTGAGTTTTTTTAAGTGGGTAAAATTTGTGTTATTGCTGCCCCATCCACAGCAGTACATTAGCTTCCGTGTCAGTACTCCTGCCTGCTTCTCCAAACCAGGGGCCTTCTGACTGCCGGTCAGCTGACTCTTGGCATCATCCTAAATTAACCCAACCAGATTTTGCCACAATCTCCCTAAGCCAATCATATCGCCAATCATCACTGCCACCTTTACCAAAAGGTTGGCTGGCCACATTTGGCTGTAAGGGGGGAACAGCATTGGTATCTGTTCGTTTATAAAGCTTTGATGCTTCCACCCTATATTTCATCCCTTTCAACTCCGACCTCACATAATCTTGGCACTCGTTCACAGAACACATTGTTGCCTCACGTTCCCTTCATTACAACTGAACTAGGAGGAATGTCATTCTCTTACTATGGATAAATACCTCATTCAATCCCACTTCAAAACATCTATCTATCTTTATAAAGTAGCTAGTAACCAGAAATACATTAAACACCAAACACAGCAGAAAAACATAAGAAACAACTATCTTCATAGTCGATAAATGAACACCCGTGACTCACTTAAAATATCAATAAAAAACATCTTTATAGTCCAAAGCCATACATGAGATACTGTGTGAAAGCCCCACATTAGGCTGCAGTATCAGCTGGTTTCCTCAGCTCGTCTCTACATGATGTATAAATACAGTGACTATAAATAAAACATGCTCAGTTTATTCACTGGTGAACAGACGGACTCCAGAGGGTTATATCAACGTTCAGGTGCTCGGATGAGCATTTAGACAGGTTTAACTTGCTGTAATTTTTCCTGCTGATTCATATTAGCTGTGAAAAGACTTCTCCTAACATGCTTCTAGTGTGCGTGATGGGGGACAAAATCTAATATGAACGAATTCCAGAGATTATCTGACGCTAATATGAGGCTTCAGTCTGAGTTAATCAAATCAATCCATCTGTTTGGTTTGAAATTACCTTCTTGTGTTTCCTTGTGTTGAGCTGCAGTGGAGGGATCGTGACAAGACGATGAAAGACTGAAACTGTGGATGAAACTTGATTCAACTGACTCAGACTGATTTATATTCGCTGCAGAGAAACTTTGGCCTTTTTGTCCACAACGAGAGTGTGGATTTAGTCCTCCATCATGCATACTGGAAACACATCATGAAGGGATCTTTTAAAGGGACAGTTCACCTCAAAGTCAAAAACACATATTTTCCTCTTACCCGTAGAGTTATTGATCAATCTACATTGTTTGGTGTGAGGTGTAGAGTGTTGGAGATGAGATCTAGAGATGTCTGCCTCCTCTCCAATATAATGGAACTAACCATTGACAACTCCAAAGTCCGTCCATCCCCTCAGGTTAAGCGTCTAGGTGTCACCCTGGACAGTACACTGTCCTTTGAGGCCCACATCCATTATGTTACTCTGTCTACATATGTTCATCTATGAAATATTGCTCATCCTCGCCCGTCACGTTCACCTCAGAGTGCTGCTATTCTCGTTCATTCTTCAGTTACATCCCGTATTAATTATTACAACTCTGTCCTTTATGGTCTCCCTCTCAAGTGTCTTCATAAACTTCAGTTGGTCCAGAATTTAACCGCCCATATCGTTACCAGAACCCCCTCCACTGATCATATCACTCCTGTTCTTCAACAACTTCACTGACTTCCTGTTAAATATTGCATCGACTTCAAGATTCTGCTTCACACTCCTCTCACTCTCTTTAATCAAGCCCCTTCCCACCTGTCTGAACTCCTTCATATCTACACACCCTCCTGTACTCTTAGATCCTCTTCTGTAATCCAACTCACATCATCATCTGCCCACCTGACTACCATGAGAGCCTTCAGTCGTTCTGCCTCCACCCCTGGAGCTTGTTCCCCCACAACATTTGCAGTATTGACTCCCTCTCCACTTTCAAATCCTGTCTGAAAACACACTTTTTCAAGCTGGCATATTCGGTGACATGCATATTGAGACTTGCACTGAATTTATACCTCATATTTATGACTACAATTTTTGTCTGGTCATTTTATTAACTTTGATTGTATATTGCAGAATTGTTTGATTTTATGATCTATGGATACATTACTGCTTGTGTCTTTTTTCCACTGTGTCTTGTAATGTGTCCTTGAGTGCTTTGAAAGGCACCTATAAATAAAATGCATTAGACAGGACTCAGTTTGTGGTGCTCAAAAAAACAAAAAAAATACATTTGAAAAACTCATCAGCAATCACTCCCTCCAGGATTTCGCAGGCTGTTTTTTGGGATGTTGCTGCCTGAAATGCCTGATTTCACAGCAGCTTTTCTAAAAAACTAAAAAAGATGTTGCAATATTTATAGTTTTTTTATGCCATGAAATTGCGGGGTGAAGTGAAAATTGCAAAAATAGCTGTAGTACTGTTTTGGATTCGGAGCGTATCATTATGAGCATTCAGAATTAGAATCTATGTGTCATAGTAGGGGGGATTGCCACAGATCAGCTGTTAAAACTGTTTAACACATTGCTTAAGGACTGTCCCCATCAGAAGCTCTCCTCCTGCTTTCTCGCACAACATGATCTCATCACTACTTGTCATATTTGTAATGAATATTTGTGAATCATGACCTGGTTACTTGAGATAATCCAAAGACCATGTTGTGTGCAGTTTCATGTAGGAACTATTTCTTTCTACTGAACTACAACCACCAACTGTATCACCATGCAGAAGGAAGCGTGCATCAACTGCTAGCTCACCTAGCACCACTGAGCTTGCTAACGTTACAACCCAGCCAAGGAGGACGCCATTAAGTTTATATTCCATGCTATCACGAGCACAAGCCTCTCGTCTATGACGAGCAGGCTTCCTTCTATGCAGTGATGCGTTTGGTGGGTGTAGTTCAGTAGAAAGAAAATAGTTCCTACATGAAACTGCTCACAAGAAGGTCTGTGGATTATCTTGAGTAACTGGGTCATGATTTCTGAAAAGAGACATTGCTGTTGAGGTTTTCAAACATATTTTTTAGCACTTTGCACACCACAAGCTGAGTGCCATCTAGTTCCATTATATTCAAGAGGCAGACATCTCTACGGCTGATATCTCCAACACTCAGCAACTCACACCAAAACAATCTATACTGATAAATAACACTACAGGTAAGAGGACAAATATGTATTTTTAATTAGGAGGTGAACTGTCCCTTTAATTGCCATTATGAACGGGAGGGAATGATAAAAGCAAGCAAAATCAGTTTCAGTATATTTATGGGTGTTTGTGAATCTCTCATTTAAAGGCCCTAAGCCTCCATTCACCAAATTCAGGCTGTTAAATCGTCGAGCGTGAAATAGAAGTGTCAGACCGCCAGGAGCAGAGGATGTAAGATTTATGTATTTATAACGTCTTTTATTTTGTCCTAACTCCAAGACCAGATGTCCTCGTTTGACTTGGTGTGAACCTTTACTAAATCTGTCTCAGGAACAGAAATGCTGGCTCCCACAAAGAGTTGGACAGCCAGATCTCCAGATCACCATTTTCCATCCTCAATATCAGAGAGGCGGTTATATAACACCACTTTGACTCATGAAAACACCATCCTCTTATTTCCAATACGGCACTTAGCTTGATCAGCCCACGTTACGGTGGAGCTGTGGACTGGTGACGGGGGATTGAAGGTACACGTGACCATAAAATCAGAGTACATGTACCCCCTCCTCCTCCTCCTCCTGCTCCTCCTCATCCTCACCTCTTCCGATGGACACCCCTTGCTGCAGGACGCAGATGTAAAGCTGCAGGGTGAGCTGGGGGGCAGATCCCAGGAAGGCCTGAATGACAGAGGTGCGGGCGAAGGCTGCTCGGTGAGTAAACAGTTTCCCCTCCGCCTGCCCCACCTGCCGTTCCACCTCCTCAGACTGACCCCCGCGAGGCATCTGCTTCTTCCTGGTGATGCTGACATACGGCTCCTCCACTCGGCCCACACTGCCATAGATACAGAACGCCTCCAGACACCTGCAGGAACATGAAACAGCAGGGGAACGTTAGAGCTGAAGAGAACTTTTCTATTATTAATTAATTATTTATTTTCCAGATTATTCGTTTTTCAGTTCATCTGTTAGCTGATACCTCCAACTCTCGGCAACTCACACCAAAACAGGCTAGATCAGGGGTCTTCAACGTTTTGCAGGCCAAGGACCCCTTAGTTTGAAGAGAGATGGAGCAGGGACCCCCTACTACACATACTGAGCTGCACTTGAGATAATTTCCAGATAAGTTTTGAGTCGTTTTAATGTGCGCTTGCCCGTAGCTGGTAAGCCTGCAGCAGTTGTAGCATTGCTAGTTGCATTAGCCTCTCTACACTTTCACCAGTTGTTTCTGAGGCGTCTCTTGCTCGTACAGTTACAAAATGATCTACTGTGGCTCACAAGAATGTCCATACACTTGGATTAATACCACAGCTAACTGACCAATATATTTCAGTAGTATGTAACGGTTAGCTAACTAGTTCACCTTGCTGTTACGGATAAGTGTCGTACAGTGATTTAGTGTTAGCTAGCTCATAATTGCACTTGGATTCATGGGTAGCAGTTAGCCTTTAATTAATGTTGTGTATTGTAAAAAAAATGTGAATAGGTATTTTTATCTTTGTTATAACATGACAGATTTGTGTTAAATTCAGCCAGGACCTTTTTTTCCATTTGCAGTATTACATTTGGCTGTATGGCTCTGTTCTGGGGCCTCTGCCTTTCCTAGGCCTATGCAGAAAGCCTCTTCCATGTGCCTACGTGTAAAGCCTGAGGTGGAGAGAGCAAACCTCTCAGCCCATACATGCACCTACATAGAGCAGCAGCAAACAGAACAGAGCCAACATCAATGACAAACATTGATAAGTCAGACACAACAAGAAAAGGAGGAGCTGGGGTGGAAGACTCCCAAGGGGTCACGAACCCCCTGTTGAAGACAAATATGTATTTTTGATTTTGGGGTGAACTGTCCCTTTAACAGTATGATTTGAACGAAATGGATGATATACTATATAACAGACATAACCCACTGTGTGGGTGGTTAAACAACTCTGCTCTGTACCAACGTGTGGCTCAAACCAACCCTTGTTCTTTTGTTTTTTGACCTTTAAACACCAATAAAAAGAAAGTTAAAATTAAACTTCTACATCACCTATTTAGGAAGTAAACTGCATTTTTCTCAGTGTTTCAACACAGTGTGGTGCATGTTATGTTGCTGAACGTACTCTGATAAGCAGATACATTTTTTAAGTTTATCACCAACTGATCCCACTCTGATAATTTTCAGCATGTCTCAGACACCGACCACACTGAGCGTGTCTCAAGGACAGATGAGTGATTACAGCCCGATAACTGCAATGAAAACTCTTTGACTTTAGCTCTCGAAAACATCTGAAATACCTACAGCGCAGCTTCAGTCAAATGATTGAGTCAGTCAGGTTTGCTCTGAAAGATAAATATATGCTTATGAAAATTTAGTTCCCTTTAAGGGCTTCTCCTAAAGACGTCCATACAAACTGTACAAATGATAGTCCTATAGGGAACAGACTGTGATGGTTTACTGAGCTCAATCAATTCATTGTTCTTTGTTTTATGTATTTTTACTGTATTTATTGCATTTTTCAGGGAATCTGTACAAAAGGAACACAGCACATGGGTAAACTAATAAAAAGAACAAGTAGGTGAGGGAAAGTAAGGCATAAATAACTAAAAACCAATCAATGGTAAGAACAATAATAATTGTAAAATAGATAAATAAGAGAAAATAAATTAAATGATAATTAAATAAATAAATAGATAAGTGCACATAAACTAAATCAAGAGGGTGAGGGTGGGGTCATCTTCAGGGTACAGTCTGGCAGGTCTGCTTCTGCAGAGATGTGAACAGTGGAACACTTTGAATCGGAGTATGCCTCACACAAACTGATGACTTATGTATTCTCTTGCCAGGTTTTATCAAGTAACCTTGTTCCCAATTCTTCTTCCCAAGCACCCTTCAGATGGTTAAGAGAGAGGCTAGAGATATTTTGAATTATATTATACAATCTTGAAATAGTGCCCCCCTGGTAGGTCTTATCTTTGTTTTAATTGTTTTGGTGTTTGTTTTCCATTCTTGCATATGAATCGTGTGTTGTTGAGTTCTTTTGTATTCTCTCTACTGTCTTTACAGAAAATTGAAGCTATATATGGCTGGAACTTATGGCTATTTTCATTTTAATTGAAAAATGTTTTAGTCTATAAAATGTCAGAAAATAGTAAAAAAAATACCATCACAATTTAATGGAGTCCATAATAAGTAAATTAAGTTTACAATGACATTAAAAAACAGCAAATACTGTCATTTGAGAGGCTGTAACCAGAGGGGGAAAAGCATTTTTACTTGATAAACAAATTAAACTGTATCAAATGAGAAGCAAAACTGTTGCAGATTAATTTAATGTCAATCTACTAATTGTTTCAGCTTCCAGCCCCTTTCAGCTGTACACATTTTAAACACTAACTACCAGGGCTTGAGTAAAAGGTTAAAGCCTGATTGATTGTTTTGGCACTAACTCAGTTAGGCCAGAGGGGACATTTAACATTTAATATTCATCATCAATACCTATTGTACACCAGCATTTAGCGCTCTGTTATATTGAGTGTCTAAAGAGATGTCAGTTGCAGTCAGATGAGCGTGGGTCGAGGTGAGGTCGAGGCAGCGCCGTGCCAATAAAACAGCAAGGCAGGAGGATTTAAGCCACAGGGGTGCTGAGGGACAGACTGTTTATCAGCTGGAGTGGCACACACAGTGAACACATCACTGACTTGATTAAAAGATATAAATAAATAAAAGTGTAAAAGATTGAGTCTGTCAGCAGCTTTTCGGATGTTAACCTATTTGTGGCTGCACTTGAAATTTTGATTTTCCTCTGGTGGAAATGTTTGGTGCAAATTTGAAGAAATTTTCAAAATCGGTCAAAGCATTTAGCTTAAGATTGATTTTTCCCTACTATATTTTGTCTCTTTGCACACAGGGCTGCTGCTTTTTCACATATATTTCATTATATTTTAGGAAGAAACTGTAGTCCCATGTACCCAAAGACTAAATATACAATCATAAGAAAACGACTGTATCTCAGAAACTACAAGGAGCACAATCAAGTATTTGGTAACAAGTTAAATATCAGAGACATGCACACATGTGCGATGTTAACAAAAAAATGTGAAAAAAATGTCATAAAATGGTAGCATTTTTCAAAAATTGTAACTGTGACTGTTGACAAAATGGTGATTTTTCATGTGATTTCAAGTTGTACTGTTGAACACTTTTACCAGACCTCAGGACTTTAGACCATCAGATCAAATGGTGTGCCATTTTTCCTTATCAAACTAAATATGGTCTTTGAGCACAATTAAACAAAATACCAAAATCTCATTAAAGGATGAAGAGCTTAAGATCAGTCACACACTCCGTCTCTGCTGACTTCAGCTTGTTGTTAAATTGATGTGTTTGTGCATCTTTAAATGGCGAAGTAAGCAGAAGTTACAGACAACAAACCAATAATCGTAACTTACAGCCGCTATAATCAATATTGATTCTCGTGTGAAGGTGACCCTTGTAGTGGATTATCACCTGATTCTGCAGATCCCCCCATCTTTACAAAGCTTTACAGCAGGGTTGTCAAACTCTTTTTAGTTCATGGGCCACATACAGCCCAGTTTGACTGGTCCAAAACCACTGCATTGCATGTAAAGAAGTACATTCTGAAAACATTCATCCATTTACAAAACAAATGATGAACAGCCTATGATATTCTAAGAAAAACTGTGTGCAAATTCAACAGTGTGTCTCAGTGTTTCCACATTCAGTCAGTCTACTACTCACTTTCATAACGTGACTTTTTTTTTCATAATTTTCCACTTAAGTGGTAGCTATTAAGGAAGCTACTGCTTTGAATCAATGCTGTAGCTACAGCATAGACTCTGGGTCGAAATGGCGCCTGCTAGGCTAATTTATACAATGTAAAATGCCATAGGCTTGTGCTAATAACATTAGCATGTTGTACTTGTGGGGAAAATGTGTCCGGACAGTTTTGTCCACTCATACTGTTTGGCATTGTTTCACAATGTTCAGTATCTTTAAATATGACCACATTAAGTATTTTTTGTTATTTCAGAGAGCTGTATTCTGGTCAGGGTGGAAAAGCCTCTGAGGCTGCATTTTACATGAAGTATCTGCTCACTGTTTAAATTGCTCTTGACACCTCTCAGCTTTCACATGTGCATCATTTGGTGTGCAAAGTCATCTAGAGGGCCAGATTGGACCCTTTAACACCCGTGCCTTTACAGTGTCTTTCAGCCTCTGTTTGGTTTCTGGCCCAAAACTTTACTGTTTCAGTTCACTCTCACCGCTCTCTCAGTGTTGTTTTCAGCTGCAGCAGACAGATCTATAAACCTTGCGTACACGACCTGCTCAACACCAAAGAGCAGACACACACAGTTAGCAACCAGCTGGTGAGCATGAGATTTCTCTCAGGAGTTAGTAGAGACCAAAAACAGAGCTAAATTCATCAGGCGAACAGAGACATGCCTCTAAACAAATGCTTAACTGCTTGATGTGTAAATAGTCTAGCCTCACACTTCACTATTTACAGAGTGTTATTTACTGTACACTTGTTTTGCTTAATATTTATTTGTTGTTATATTATTTTTTTTATTTTACTTTTATTCCTTATTTCATTGACTTTTTAAATTTGCTGTTATTTTCTCTATGTTTGTCTGTAAGGTGACCTTGAATGTCTTGACAGGCGCCTAAAAATAAAATGTATTATTATCTATTATTAACTCAAAAGGTGATGATATGCCACTGTTCTGTTCTTGCTTATGCAAAAATAAAATCCAAATCCATCAAAAAATCCAAACTATCCCTTTAACTGCTAGAGACAAGATGTCTCCAATGTCACTGAAAAGTCGATTATTAATGTTTATGACCTGAAGGTTTAAGTTTTCACATCTCACTCCAGCTGCATTCTGAACCATGATTGGCTTTCAGTTGTGATGTCACAAAATCAGCACATGGACGTCGTCTTTAGCTCAGATTTAAGGTGAGCTCTGAGAAACTTCCACTTCCAGCAAATGTCAAACTCTGCACACACATCATTTTTATTACCTTCAACGAGGAGGAAAAACAAGCAAATGACATTGAGAGGAGGGCGACTTTAAGCATTTAAAAACTGCGGGAAAAGCTGTGGACCTTGAGTGAGGATTACTTTGTCAAAGGCCAACAAGTTATTTGCACACTTAACAGACAGATCTCCACCTCTTGAGAGAAGCAATGATCACACACTTCCAACATACACTGAGGAGGAATTAGAATAAAGCTGCTAATTACATAAGAGGCTGGAATTAAGAAAATAAAACAAGCAGACGAGTGTTTTGAACCGTAAGTGTCACTGCTGCTATAACACAATATGATAAGGACTATGTTTATAATAAGTGGCGTTTCAGAGAACAGGAAGCGGTGCCGTGATGTCGGTGGCAGAGACAGATATTTCCCTCTCTGGTTGTGTTCTCAGAGATAAGGAGCCAGCAGCGACGTGTGCTATTCTTAGATCTGCTCTTCACTGAGGAAAGATGTAGAAGTCTGAACAGTAATCATCCAAACACACTTGAGGGGAAACGGCCGGGCAGGGTCACTTCCACAGAGGCCACTGCAGGGGAGTCAACAGGCGGAGAGATGTCAGTTTAACTGGTCCACCATAGAAAAACACTAAAGTATAGACGTCACTGGGTCACCATAAATATAACTGTCTCCATCAGTTGCTAAGCTTATATTCAGTAGCTGAAGGCTTACTGAACACTGACAAGCCGATGTACAACTAACTGTTTTCTTGATTAATCCATTTTTTAATCTATAAAATATCTCCAAACCTCTCTCTACGCCCAGGTCCCTCAGGTCAGCTGACCTGGGGTTTCTGGCTGTCCCACGCTCCAGACTTAAGCTCAGGGGTGATCGTGCCTTTGCTGTGTCTGCCCCCAAAGTGTGGAACAGCATCCACCTCCCAATGATCAATAGCATATGAGAATAAATAGCATATACAAACCCTCTTGTCCTCCCGCTTATTGTGTACCACTGTAAAAACATTTACTCATCTTTATTTCACAACTTCTTTGTGTTGTTTTCTTTCATCACTCCCCCACCCTTTTTGGTTACTATTTACATTCTGTTTGCACTGCGACTATTTTCTCATGCCTCCCTCTTTTTATTAGACACAAGTTTACTCCATTTAATGTGTATCATTTTAAAGGGGTTGCTCTGTATAGTTTGTGTTGTTTTGTTCTGTGTTTTATAATGTATTGAAACATTACAATAAAACTATAAATCTTTAAAAACAGACTGATAAGTAGCACTACGGGTAAGAGGAAAAATATGTATTTTTGATTATGGGGTGAACTTCCTCTTTAAAAAGCAACTAGAAATCAAGATTTAACAGATGTATTAGTAGCACCAGTATCCCACAAGTCTCTGCTCAGTAGATTAGAAGGGCAAACCGGAAATGGGATTTCTTTTTGAGACCTTTTTGGACCTGCTGTTTAAAAAAGTGCCTGTTGATTTTTATAATCAATTTAATTTAATTTAATTTAATTTTATCAATTGTATTTTATTAATTTAATTTTATCAATTTAATTTAATTTAAATTTATTAATTTAATTTAATTTAATTTAATTTTATTCTATTTTATTTTATTTCATTTTATTTTATTCTTATGAAGGACAAAATGTGTCCGCACACTGAACTAAGATATTTTTGGATAAATTCTGTGGGATCACTGTGACAGTTTAATGGGATATTTTTAGGATATGATAATGTATTTTGTCTTGTCTTATTTTCTGCTGAATAGATGAATCAGTCATCAAATATAAAGTCTTATCAGGAAATGTATCTGTAATGACATCAGCATGATGTAACCACTTCATATATACACCTCGCTCTTTGTCACGTTGCCACTGATGCTGTCATCAGTCAAATAAAGTTCTTGGGAGCTAAAATGTACTTTTTATTTTCTACTCTGTGTTTAATAATGTTTACTCATGTAACCATAAAGTTACAGGCCACAATGCAGATGTGGGAGTAAGTCACACATGTGCAAGTCACAAGCAGTTCTCAAGTCTTTATCTTCAAGTCTCAAGCAAGTCCCAAGTAACTGTGGTGAGAATCAAACAAATCACAAGTTGGGTCTTATGAATTTCTGATTATCTACAGTTTCCACATTTAAATCAGTTTAACAGACAGTGGTCATTAAAGTTGAGTGTTATTTTCAACAGTAACAAAAACTGTTGCAGCCTGCTTACACCTTATAAATCGTACTTCTATTAGACATTTTGTGGCACTCAATAAAAAGCCTCCTAGATGAACAGCAGACGAGAGAGGGGCTCTGAAACGATAGTACAGCCGTATAGCTCTAAAGTACAACATAAACAAAATGGATGCTGTGGAGGTTGTGTCACTGAGTTTTGAGCAGACCAGAAATTTTATTATATTTGCATTAACCGCCTGAATGATAACTGCCTCATGCGTTGGCTTCAGCTGGTCTGCAGCGTTTGAGTAGGTTGCCAGGTGTGGGTGAACTGTACTAGCAATTACCCGATCATGTTTCACAAACAAATCAACCACTCAATATGTAGACATGTCAAGGCATGAACACCAGGTCAAAGTCAAGTTGAGTCTTTTATCATTGTCATGCAAGTCTCAGGTCATGTGACTTGATGTACTGGCCTTTTCTTTAAAGATTATTTTTCAGGGTTTTTAGCCTTTATTTGCTAAGACAGTGTTAGTGTGAAAGGGAGAGACAGAGGGGATGAACTGTAGCAAAGGGCCACAGGTCGAAATTGAGCCTGAGGCTGCTGCGGAAAGGACATGCCTTTTGTACATGGAGTGCCTGCTCTATCATGTGAGCTACTTGGCACCCTACCAACCTTTTCTTTAAAAAAACAATAAAACGAAAAATTGTTGCATATTGAATTTCTGTCAAACAGGTCTCCATTAGAGCTGCAACTAACAATTATTTTACTTTATTAGTCTGAGATGATGTCTTCAAATCTCTCTTTTCCTTTTGTCTAATGCTGATGGATGGATTACTGAACAAGCAGACCAGGCACAGGCCCAGGGGCCAACAGTTTCAGGGCCCCCCCTGAACTTCACCTGCAAAACGTCAGTCAAATGAACACATACTGACCAGGAAGAGACTCAAAATGACCACAAAGAGACACAAAGGAACTACAACACAGGCTAAACTAACACAAAGAGACACTACAGCCCTGTTTCCATCGAGTAGTACGGCACAGTTTAGTTCAGTACACTTTTTTTTCTGTTTCCACTGTGAAAAGTTGTTGGGGTACCTAGCACACAGATCTGGTACTAAAAGGTGGAGCTGTGAACACTGCAGTCTGTTGATTGGTCAGTAGAGGACGGTCGCTCTGCTCAGGGCTGAGTTCTGGCTGGTTTTGAGGTTCATGTAACCACTGTTCATACTGTGGAGAGTTTTATAGTAGACTGTAACTATAAAATGAAAGGATGTTTTGCTGCCTCTCACAGCAGCTGGAGTCTGAAAAAAAATAACTTCATTCACTGGGCCGACTGCCGGCAACTTTTAAGGTGGAACATTAACTTGTAATGTTACTCAATGCATGAGCTGACGACGTGAATCCATCAGTACGCCTTTACTTTCACTGTGACAACTCTGACCATTACTTTAGTTTTTATATGACATGCACTTTTAGTAACAAGTGGATCTTTGAGCGTTTAAAAATATATATCAGTTTCGACTGGATTATGTGAACTGCATATATTCAAATCCTCACTCGAAGAACAACAACAACCCCACCCACATTTAAAAGTACAGTTTGCAGTGGAAACACTAGGGTCTAGGTGCCATGTCTGAAGGGTTACTTTTAGTTTCAAAGGTACCATACTGAAAGTGTTTGGTGGAAATGGGGCTTGAAATACCACAAAGCCTGTGTGTCTTGCTCCTATGTAGAAGAGGTAGTGGGGCCTTTTGTATATCTGTGCCCAGGGCCACATTGTCTCATAATGCACCCATGCCTACAGCTTAAAAACTCAAAGAGATTCACTTTACTGTAACATCATTTCAGCTCCAGCTTCTCTATGACAGGAGATAAATGGGTTTTGATACCACAGTCATTCCTCCTGCTGTGTGTCTGTTTGATAACATGATCATGCTGCATGTCTGACAGCAGGGAGGTTTTCTACATGCAGGATTAGGCTCCTATAGCTGAGGCAGATGGTCCCTGCAGGTCAGGCCGGGCTGAGGCTTACACAGAGAAACACCAGGCCTATTATACTTTAAAACACAGATGTTTAAAGTCTCCTCCGTCCGTGTGTAACAGCTACGTGATGTCAGGTTTCCCCTTCAGAAGGTGCAGTCATGCATTAATAAATCAGACACAGCTGAATTTGATCGACCTGTGAGGAGGAGGGGGGTCTTATAAAGTACACAGACAGCGATGGCGTCCAGCTGTGTGCCTATATGGAACATATCGATGAGCATATTGATTGGGTTTTAATTTCCGAACTCATAGCACACATAGATTCATTGCAGCGGCGTGTATGCAGTCAGTCGGAGACAAAAGGCCGGAGGAAATGAAAACAACAGCATGTGCGCAATGCATTCATCAAACCATAAGCAGCTTATGTGAAAAACAGGCCGGACATGTTTTTAACACAAAAAAAATCACGCGTGGACACAACACCTGTGGGTAATAATAGCTTGCGTGACACGGTGATTAGGAGGACAATGGCATCCAGGGCTGCTTTAGGATTCAATGAGGGATAAACAAGCCAGCACTGACCTGACGATGGGTCCGAGCTGCAGGATGTGCAGCAGCAGGATGAGCGGTCTGTCTCTGCTCAGGTCCCGGTGGATGAAGGTGAGGGTCAGCTGCACGAGCACGGACGGTACGAGCGTGAAGAGGAGCGTGAGCCCTTGCCAGATTTGGTCTCCAGCTGAGCGGTACGTGGAGCTGAGGTAGAGCGCTGCCGTGGTCTCGGCCGTGAACAGAGACACCGACACAAATATGGAACTGGGGAGTCGCATCCTCACTCACTCCGCCATTTGGGGAATGCGGCTTCGCTCGGGGTCCGCGCATCCATACCACCGGTTAGCACCGGGCAGTCGGTCGGTCGGTCACCCGCCAGAGGGGACGGCGTCGTCTCTGGCTCCCGCCGCCGCCGCAGCTCATCTGCGATTTTGAGGCAGGCAGGATGTTTTCACAGCCCGGTGTTGTCCCTGGGAGAGACTGCGGGTGGCGCACGAGGCGTTGCGCTGTCCAGAGAGCGCGGTGCGCTCGCGAGAGGCGGCTGTCAGAGAGAGAAGAGACGCCCTGCAGTCATGGAGTTATTTCTGTTCAGACACTGGAGCATTATTTCACTCATCAAACAAACCATATAATGAAGTTAGTCATTAGTCAAATATTTTATTGAGGTATTAGGGAATAAATAAGAGCAGCCTGCTACTACATTGTAACTTCAATTCTTGTATTTTAGCTTGTTTTTATTTTCTGTTCTTCACCTCTTTCATGGCGTTTTGTATTTATGTCATTTTATAATGTTTATTTTGCACTTTGTCTCGATGCAGAGCACTGTGAATTGCTTTGCTACTGGAATGTCCAGTATAGATAAACTTGCTTTACACCCATAAAACAGACTAACTAGGGGAAATACAACAGAAGGCAAAAAGAAATAAGGGGGAGGGAGAGCATGTAACACTGAAAATAAGGACCAGTAATTTCAGGGTTTTGCTGATTTACTGATTCTGTGTGCTGAATGCTTTGGTGAATTTTTATCTTAAGTAATTTTATTATTATTTAAATTATTATTAATAATAATAATAATATTATTATTATTATTATTATTATTATTATTATTATTATTATTATTATTATTATTATTATTATTATTTAATAATTTATAATTATTTTTTATTTAATTATTCACAATTGAATCCCCAAATAATTTGTCTCAGGGATTATTTAAAGATATTCAATTAAGATAATATGCCCTTTGACCTTTTTCCTACGTTTATAATTTGTCTTATATTATTTCATAAGGTTAGGTTTTTTGTTTTGTTTTTTGTTTTTAAATATATCTACTTTGTTATATTCTTGGACTGCTTTGTTATTTGCTCTGTATGTTGCATGATCTTGTGCAACTTTTAAGGGACAGTTCAGTTTAAAATCAAAAATACCTATTTTTCCTCTCACCTGTAGTGCTATTTATCAGTCTAGATTGTTTTGGTGTGAGTTGCTGAGTGTTGGAGATATCAGCCATAGAGATGTCTGCCTTCTCTTAAATATAATAGAACTAGACTGCCAGTGCCAAAAATACATTTGAAAAACTCAACAGCAATGTCTCTTTCCAGAAATCATGAGCAGGCTCCTCAAGATAATCCACAGGCCTTGTTGTGAGCAGTTTTATGTAGGAACTATTTTATTCTTCTGAACTACACCCACCAGCCGTCACTGAACAGAACGCAGTGTGCATTACTCATGGACAAGAGGCTCTTGACAGTGCAAAAGGTAAACATTAATGAAAGCCTCCCTAGATGAGCTGTAACACTGGCTAACTGGTGCTAAGTGAATTAGCAGTAGATGGACACTTCCTTGTGCACAGTGATATGGTTGACAAGTGTAGTTCAGTAGAAAGAAAATAATTCCTACAAGAAACTGCTCACAACAAGGTCTGTGGATTATCTTGAGTAACTGGGTCATGATTTCTGGAAGGAAGGCAGACATCTCTAACACTCAGCAACTCACACCAAAACAATCTAGACTGATAAAAAGCACGACAGGTAAGAGGAAAAATATGTATTTCTGATTTTGGGGTGAACTGTCCCTTTAATGTTTTGGCATGTTGTAGATTTCATGGTTCTGTTAGCCTTGTTCTACAAGGCTGTAATCTGTTCAATAAAGAGAACGTTTCCGTTCATTGTTTACTTAGTTTCTCTCCTTTCCATGAATTCTGATGGATACACTGTACATCTGTTCTTTCTCCACCCAGGGCAACGTGTTTTGTGTTATTGATTGCACAATTGAGATGTTTTCCTCTTTCTCTGCTGCATCAACTGCAGGGATGCAGTAAAACATTTTAACTACAACAAATAAGAGTGATGTAAGTGCTTTGTTGGAGATGCACTGATTTATGTTTTAATTTTTTTTTTCACATAAATCACATTGTCATTATGTGGAGCTGTGGAGGCAGTTCAAGATGATGTTACATTTTCAGAAAAGAAAACCCCTTAATTTGTTTTCATCCAGACACTTTATTAATGACAATAAGCCTTTAGACTTGGTTGTGGACAGCTTGGATTGCAAATGCAAAAAACAGCACACACACACATACACGGCTTATAAATGTTCCACAACATGCTCAGTTAGCATCAGGAAACTACTTTGGTTTGCGATTATTCACAGCCACTTTTACCAACTTAAGCCATGATGATGTCCAAAACGCTGCCCAAAGCATTTTTCAGTTTCCAATATCGTCAATCCTTTTTCACTCTGAGAGATGGGATCATATCCAAATGCTAGAAATTTGTTTTAAGGCCTCATTATCACATTTACATAAAGAAATCCTCCGTCCACTGTAATTTACACAACTGAGGAGCGTCTTGAACAGATTGCATCGGAAAAGAAATTAAATTTTCACACTGACGACATTTTTACAGGCTCACAAACCTGCACTCTAACATACTAAAAGTCATAACAGATCACATACAGTAACTAACACAGTTTATTGCAAGTCATACTGCGCAGCTCAAAGAAAGTGAGACTATTAAAAGGACAATAATCTACAGTTGTTGTCAACAGCATCTGTTGGTTGTACCTCACTACCCAAGTTCAGTATCAAAATCCTTCCGTTATATTCAACGTTAAAGGTTGTGAAAACAATAATTTGAGAGATTGCGTAGGCCTACCCTAAAGACATAAATTCAAAGTTCTGTGATATGTGACGCCGAGCTGGTGACGTGATAGAAAAATATTTAAAGGCATTATGTGACACCAGATTTTCTGTTTTCTGTTTTTTCTTTTGGTTGTGATCGCCGTTTATTTAAGCTGTCAATGGTTGCGACGAGTCCTCCAAACAATAAAGCCACATAGATTGTTTGTTCCTATCCTTTGATACGACACACAGGAGCGTTTCGTAAATCAGTGCCTCTATCAGTGGCAGGGGATCAACACAAATACAACATAAATGACGATTAATGGCTGCAGTTTGCAGGTGGTAGATGTTGTGGAACGGTAACGATAAAGTTCAGGGTACAGTCACATATAAGCAAAATTAACTGGGGTAAATATTCACCTTCCGTTGCATTCAATGCAAGCAGAGGGGCAAATAAAACATCTGCTTCCGGTGGCAAAGCAACTTTGCATATTCAACTTTGGTAAACTTTGACCAACGAAATCAAAGCCTTCCTGTGGAGGAGACAGTGATTGTTGCCAAGTCTAACATATAAACTGCCCAATACGAGAGATGCTGCCTAGCTGGCAGTGAGTCAGGACACAGGCACGAAACATAAGAAATTGGTCAATGTACCAATAACATCATATTTCATAGTATCTATTCGCAAGCTAGCTAGTATTAGCTTGCAAGTCACATCTGGCACTGTCCACATTCAGCACACATATCGCCTCAGCAAGTGATGGTAACTTGCCTGCATTTGCTCGTTTGTGACCGTACCTTTAGGAAACAAAACTACATGGTTAGGTTTAAGAAAAGGTCATAGTTTGGATTAGCCTATCTTTGTTGCGTATGTCATGTGCCAAACATAACTTAACATAGTTCAGAATTAACTTTTGGTGTCACATGGGACACAGACAGTGAACTCCTGGGTCAAAGTCCTGTGTTGGATTGACTCATCCATCATCCGCAACCTCCTCATTGTCTTAATTTATTTTGCTGCTCTTAATACTATGTCACCTGAATTCCTCCTTGGCTCCCATCATTATTACTATTAGAGGTCACTGCCTTACCATAAACCTAAGTACAGGCTGTAATCAGGCCATGGATTTGCCACTCAGCCTTGCTTCCAATTTTTCCAGTGGCCACTCGCAGTATTGCAGCGGAAAAAATTCCCCTGCAGCCCAAAAAGCATTTTCCCCATAGACCACCATTATAAAAGAGACATCTGTAAAACTGTTGACAGGACACCTCAAATTATGACTCTTTTTATTATTATTTCTGGAGGATTTATATTTGTAAAAGTTTCCTCAAGCTGAGAAAAGTGATTAAAAAATCTGTGATGTCATCACAATGTAAAGTGTATGAGCCTAGCTGGAAGTCGCAGTTGGAGCCAGCAGGAGAAACACTACTGCAAATATTCAGTGGAGTGCATACTGTAAACCCAAGCTAAAAATTTTATGCGCCAGGCAAGCAGTTCTCTTTAGACTGAACAGACGCCATCTTAGGGTCCAGTATCCAGATCTAACAATACATCCATTGCCGTAACAAGCTGCTTGTACAAACGACCTATGGGGTCCTTTTGTTGGAGGAGGACAATTGTATGTGTGTGTTTCTGTCCTGAGGGCAGCATCTTCTACATCTTCATATGCTGCAATTTCAATCAACATCAGCAGCATTACCTCTTTTCAAAACCGTCAGTACTTAATCACAGGGGTTTTCAAAGTCTGCAAGGCAAAATCATGACAACTACTTTGTCTCTGCCAAATCAGCAACATTACAAATATGCTGAATAACCTATTAGCAGTTCCTGTTGCTAGTGCAGACATGGATTTAGCCTATCTATAAGTTATAAGGTGCGCCAAGATTTATGGATATTCATTTGGGATGGACATCACAGTGATAATGGACAATATTTTGTTTTCCATCCACCAGAGTTTGCTCGTGCGCTGTACTTTAGGAAGAAGTGTCAGGCAGTATCTTCGCCCCGCAGTTTAAAAACCCTTGCTTTAGTAGTAGCCGTCATTGTAAATTGAAAAGGGTAACGTTACAGTGAGTGGTGTGAATCTGGTAAAGCCTGGAAGCTGATCATCCACTTTTAGTATAGACACAAAACAAGACCATTTTCAGCTGTACTCAAATGTGATTTTCTAAATCCCCAAACAAATACCATCCATCCCTCCACTCCCACTCCAATCTCAGTCTAAATCCAGGCTCTTAATGCTTCTACCAATACCAGCTCTTGAGGGATCAGAGGGAAGGAAAGGTGTCTGTTCAGGTCAGTGAGCAGCGGTAAGCCAGGCTCCATTCACACAAAGATGCTGAACAGCGGGAACTCTGACTGGTCTGGCTGCAGGAGGTCGACCAGGAAACAAACAGTCCCCGACAGGCCTTCAAACAGACTGTAGACACTCGTCACTGAGTGGGAGCCTGTCTTAAACTCCTCAGTGAAGATGAACTCTGCAAACCTTTGGAGAGGGAAGAAGAGTGAATAGACATGAATGAATAGTGGGACTTTGAGTGAATAGACAGGTAGCTACCACATCACTGAGGTCATGTCCTCTGTATTTTCTGGGACTCTGGGGGTCTGAGGAGAGGATTAACTTCTACAGATAAACACAAACATGATGGAGTAACTAATATTCTTTTAGACTTAAAAAAGTTATGTTTCCAGTTGCTAACCTAGCTGCTCTGTCAGGCTATTCTTCCAGATGAACTACGGTGCTTTAAGCTAAGTTTGCTGTCCCTGTTAAGTAGCTGTCTGCTCACTCTACAGCAAAAAACAGCACTTCAAAATAACAGTTCCATGCAGGAAGTTCACTGTACGTAAAAATAAAGTGTGTTTTTTTTCCTCCAGATTGGACCCGTGACCCACTTTCGGGCCACAACCCACCAGTTGGGAACCACTGATTTATAACATCTTTCACCATTAACTGTCGTTTGAGTCACCTGACTAAAAACTAAATGTGGTTACTGTCACACATTTTTAATTTGGGGTGAGTTTCACTGGCTGGTTTGTACTAATGACCTCGGTATTTCTAAAATCCAGACTGCAGCTCTGTGGGAAACAGAAGGAGGGATTTCTTGCCTCTGAGCACGGTACATGTACTTGGAGTTGCCTGTGAGCCGATAAAGCAGGAGGAAGACGTAAGCGCTGCCTGCAACTCCGTGACAAATCCCAGGTCCCTTCTTCAGCAGACCCTTCTGCCACACAAGCTCCCCACTACGGATACATGTGTCTAGATACTGGGGCTTCTTATGGATCAGGTAGGCTTTGGCAAAAAGATACGCCACACCTATGTGATAGGATGGAGACGTTAATCTAACACAGCAACAGAAACAGCAACTGAGAAGCCACATATGAACGCCTGCGCAGAGTCATGTGTACAACACTGAGTGTACCTGGGGCTCCGTGGCACCAGTGCACCAGCTCGTTCTCCCTCTGGATGATGGCGCCCAGCTCAGCGGGCCAGTTACAGTTCTGCTCCTGGTTCATGAGGAAATCAACGCTCTGCCACACCAGGTCCTTCTCTGCCGCACTGAGCACGTCCTGGTAGCTCAGCAGCATCTGCAGCACGGATGAGAGGCCGTGGGCTGCACCTGACAGGATGAACGGGGGGGCGCGGGGATAACACATGCAGCCAGGCATGCAGGGAAGCACCATGCCAGGCACACAGACAGACACAAAGGACTACTGGAGAACATGTCTTTGTTGCTTTTTGCTTTTCATTTTCTAATCTATAGCCCACTGTACATACTTGACAGTTGTGTTTGACAGTAAAGGTTTTGTTTTTCAGCGTTGAGGAGGTCATCTACATGTAAACTCGTGATTATTCCCAGAACAGTTGAGCTCCTGTCAAGTACATAAGCAGCTGCACAACGGCTGTCCCACCAAAGAACCCTTCAAGAACAGAGACCACTCTCCATTTGACCGGAAGATATATACTGAACCAGGATTATAAACTGTATATTCAATGATTAGTAGGGTAATTAAGCATCACAGAATCTAAAACAATTTAATTAAACAAACATGCTTTAGTGCAGAAATCTGGAGGTTTCAAAGACAAAATATTGGTCTAATCCCAGAGAGTGATTGAGTCACATATCATGCTTCGATCTGAGAATACAGAGTAAAGTTGATAAAACAGAGTAGCTCTTCGTAGTCTTGCAATCCTCTTAACAAGAAAGTCGATAGTTGACGATTCTGCAAATCCACAGATATGAATAAGTTGAATCTTTATTATGTCCAATGCCAACTTTTTAAAGTTCTTGTTTTCTGCAATATTAGCACATATGATGCTAAGCTAAGTTAGCTAACTGCTGGCAGTACCTTTATATTTAGTGTACAGAGACCGTCTCATCCAAGCGGCAACTACTGTGGCTAAAAATGAATGAAATTAACCTCGGGCATAAGCCCTGGGCATTGCTAAAATGACGCTGAGGGCAGCCTTATGTATTGTACCTTGATGCAAAAGGGGTCTGCAGTAAGAGTAGCTCAGAGGTTATTTTTAGGCAACAAATTACTTGGTTGTACCTGAGAGGTACCCATCTTTGAGGCTATAAAAGGTTCAATGTCATGTGTGCGACCCACTATGGGAGATTTAAAAAGTAGCTGATAGCAGTTAGCAGCTAACTCAAAGAAGAACAGGAGCTCCTTACCCTCTGAGCAAAGGATGAGATCAGCTGCCATATAACAGGGACAGAAAATGATCTTATTTTCATGTAATGCCATTGTCATTTTTTCTAAAAAGCTGCCAATGCATATCCTGTATGTCACACTAGAGGCTGATGCTGTTGTGTTACATGCCACTGCCATCATGGCTCTTTTGCTTCTGGGATGCCAGCATGCTGTCTAAAATCACACACTGGGGCAGCATAATGCTGCAGTTGTTTGGTTCATTGTAAAAATACAAAGGCTGCATAAACAAGGGACTTTGTTGTGGCTCTATAGACGACTACTGTCTGGTGTTTGTTGGAGTCATCCATGTCCCTCTTGACCTCCCTATAAGTACTTTGAGGCTCTTTAAACAACTTCCGTTGCTTTAAGTGTCTAATAATGAGGTGGGTGTATCTATATTGGAGTTGGTGGAAAGCCCAGGTGATAAAAAGTGTCCCTTGGTGCCCAAGCAGCACTATTTTAATGTCTTGGGAGTGAGACCAGGCTGGCTACATCCCATCCACCACCCTGACCTCCACACCCTCACTATAGCAACAGCATGACTTCCTGCACTGAATGCTGGGATTGGATGTAAATCTTGAGTTGCAGAATCGTCAAATATGGACAAAAATCACTGAGATGTTGGTCCAAGGCTTTCTACATAATGCTGGACACATGCAGGAAAAACACGGCTCTCTGAGTGTCTGTAAATTTTCTTTTATATCTGCAGGAATTCAAAAGAGAAACCCCTCTGTGAGCAAATCTGTCAGATCAAGCAAACTGTAACACATGCAGCACCTTTAACCAGGTGTGTTCACCAGACATGACCAGAATGTCTTTTTTTTATCCTTCTCATCATCCTTTAAAGTTCTCGTTGTATCCATGCAGAAGTAGCCAGCAGGGCTATGCTTACTATGAACTCTGTGCTGCTGTGAAAGTTACTGAGGATCTCCAACCCTGACGGCTGTCTTCATCCGATGCAGTCAAGGAAAGGAAAGTTAGCTTTACACATGTTAACACATCTAAAGCCTGTCTGCATATCTGCATAGGACTGCAGCAAGGTTTAGCGTAAAATCTTAATTTCCAAAAGGTAATTCACACTTGAACTGACAAAGTCTACCTGGATAAAAAGGACACATATTTAAAGACTTAAATCAGTGTATCAGCGAATTAAGATCAAAGCTGCTTTTCTTACCAAGATACTCAGTTCCATAGTACGAGTACATGAGGGGGAAAGGCTTCCTCTTCCTCCTGGCATATTGTTTTCCAGACTCAATTATGGCCTGACAGATTGATTTGATTTGATCCTTGCTCAGAATCTGCAAATAAAAGACAAGATTGTTTGCAAAGTTAATCAGCACTGGAAATACAGATATAAGACATAAACAAAATAATTTAAGAGTTCCAACTAAACCTGTTACATCATGGTTTTTGTGTTTCGCAACTCCAATGTAAAAATACAGAGCTGATTTTAAAGATGAATAGTTCATCAACAGAAATTATTTGTCAACAGTTTTGAGAACTAATAAATCATTTAAGTCAATTATCAAAAAGACACATTAAAAATTTGCTGGTTTGAATGTGTGGATGCTTTTTTCTGTTTTATATAATTGTAAGTTGAATATCTTTGAGTTTTGGACTATAGCCAGACTTTTGATATTGATATTTGACCATTTAAAATATCAGATATTTTTTTTCTACCATACTGATTTTTGTCATAAACATATTGTTTGGAAAGCTGATTTTCTGGCCTATTGGTTAATGCTAGTTTTAGCTGTCTGAATTTTTGTTAGTAGCTTGCACAGAAGTCTAAAGTGTGTCTGTTCTCCCTGGTATGGTTAGGACAGTATTGTTTACAGTTCCTGCCTTGTAGCGAAACAACAAAAAGTAGACAAAAACAAGACAAGGGCATTTACAAATTGAATATGACCAACGGTGAAGTCACTGAGTGAATGTCCCACTTATTAAGAGATTTAAGCTGCTACGCTGAATTAATAGGCCACATAAAAAAAAAAAAGTTAACCCTATATAGGCCTAAATGTTTAACTAAGGTTTTAAGACAACCTTCAGGTAACATTACCTTAGTCTCCTTAGTCAATAGTTCAAGGTCCTCACAGTTCAATATATTCAGCATCATACTTGTGTTTGGCCATGTCGTTGAGTTAGTTTGCTGAGTTTAGAAAACGCACTCTGTATATATTCAATTAAATTGTGTCTTTCACATTTGGGTTGGGCTCCAAAAAAACTTAACTAAAATGTCATTACACATCAGTTTATTTTCACTATTGTTGAAGTAGTCCGTGAGTAATGGAAGGTTATTTTGTGTTGACACAGAAGCGTCCCAATCGACCCTGTTCTCCCCTATCGGCCTATAGGCCTACACTGACTCAACTGAGTTATCGGTCAAGCTGAAACTGTGTTGACCTTTTCTGACATTTTCTGTCATAAACAATAAATTAATACACCTAGGCTACACATAATCATGATTTTCTGTAATACATCCTGTGACTCACTGTTGGTAGGTGATAATAGAGGTTATGATGATCTGGGACTCAGATCACCATTTTCTGACCTTTTGAATAAATAATTTAGCCCATAAAATAATCAAAGCATTATCAGGAGCTGCAGCCCTTTTACACCAGTGTTTACAATCAGGTCTTGTAACAGCACATTAACAAAAGCTGGTCGTTGTCTTGTGTGTGCACGAAGTGTTAACAGGTCCTGAAGGTGAATCAGGGATCTGAAGTAGTCCCCCCCCCCCCCCCCCCCCCCCCCCCCCCCCCCCCCCCCCCCCCCCCCCCCCCCCCCCCCCCCCCCCCCCCCCGCCCCCCCCCCCCCCCCCCCGTTGTTTAGCTCACCTCTATCCCCAGCTTCTGTTTGAGGACCAGGGCGGCACACAGGTACCCAGCCCTCCCCACGAACAGCTCATCCGAGCCGCACTCCAGAAAATTGATGGGCGCACACACCTCCCACAGGTTACGAAATTTGGTGAGCGGCTTAACGAAATCAGCCAGACCCAGAGATTTATAGATCATAGCGGCCACCGCGTAGATGCCCGCCCCGCCGAGCAGGAAGGCGGCGCGCATGTTTGTGTCCGGCTCCGCGTCCACATATCTGACCGACACGTCGATGATCTGCTTGGCCGCCTTCAGATACACGTCCCGCTGTTCGGAGAACAGCGGACACTCGCTGACATGATACAGCATGTAAGCCACCCCGGCCGGTCCGTCGTACAGCCCTCCGTCGCAGTCGCTGATGTCGATGGGGACCTTCTTCAGGATCTTGTCCACGGTGGCGATGACGGCTGGCACCACGGCCTGCGCGCCCTGGCCCGGCAGCAGCGCACCGCTGTAGTCAGAGAAGCGGTTTGCAAAGCAGCGGAGGTTTTCCATCACAAACAGCTGGAGGCCCCAATGTTACAACGCAGATCTGTGCTCGGCTGCTCCAGGTATCCAGGGGTGCGAGAGGAAAAACACTTTGATTGCTCGTCCAATCCCATCAGCCCGCAGCTGATTGGATGTCAACAGTGATGGCTCAGCCTCATGTTGGCTGATGACTCCTGCAGCCTGTCAACATAATGATACCTGCACTGTCATGTCTGGTGATGAGACGAGCTGGAACAAGCGATCACATGATTTGAAAGTACAAGCCCTACCACAATATGAAACAAGTCAAAGTCCTTTATTCAAAATAAAAAAACACACAAAGATAATATTTAATGAAAAGTACAAAAAAATTTCCTCTTTTGTAATGTTATATTATCAGATATAGTCCATTATGATATTAGTGGTAAGGTGAGGGCATGGATGACCAGGGGAAATATGGAGTGAAACAAAGATGAATATGATTAATGTAAGGACCATAAACAAGAGTTTACTGATGCTATTGTGCTGACCTTTATTTCACCAAAAGTCAACTTTTTTTTTTAATTAGTTTTTTCAAAAATTGTTGTTACTGATTGGTAAAAAAAAAAAAAAAGTGTGGGATGGGGGTTTATGAATTATGAAAAAACTTTGACCTCTGACATGGAGATTGTCTGAAGGTTATTTTTGGTTCTTAAAAGTAATTTTTCACATAATCTTTAGGGAATGTTCCCTGAAGGTCCTCTATTTTTGTTGTTGTTTTCTTAATTAAATAACCTTCAGAAAAGGTTATCTTCAGTTTTACTCACCTTTATCTCACCTTTAAATTTTTGAATGAACCTTTAGGGGACGTTCCCTGAATACTATCTTAGTTGTTTGTTTTTTTTAACATTTAAATAACCTTCATAAAACGTTTAGAGAAAGTTGCCTGAAGATTCTGTAGTTTTATTTATTTATTTATGTTTACTTTAAATAGCCTTCAAAGTACCTTATAGGAATGTTTCTTTATGGTTCTCTCAAGGTGTTTTTTTTTTACGTGAAACATTTCCTGGATATTTAAAAACCCTTTAAATAATCTCCAGACAACATAGGGAACATTCGCCAGATGCTTTTTAATAGAACTTTGAATAACCTTAAGAGAACCTTTAGGTACCCTTTAGGGAACGTTTCCTGGTGGTTATCTTTTTGCTGGGAATGTTGTCTTAATATTACTGCTTTTGTTGGTGCTGTTTGCCGGTTTATCTCTGGCTGACATCTCACTGTGTCACTATAAGAACGATTCATTTCTCCAGGAAATGAAGAAGTGTCCATTCGTTCTTATAGCTTTCAATTCAGCATCTTCTCCACCAGGTGGCGACAGAAACCTGCAGGCTGAGCTGGCTGCTGTCCATGGTGCTGAATGATGGTTTTTAATGCTCATATTTGTTAAACAAATACACACAAAAATATTTTAACTATAGGGAATTGATTGAATAAGTAAGAAGAAAAGATATAATTTGTAAATCTCCAAGGGGAAATTAAATTTCACTCTGTTGTCATACACACAGGCCCGAAATACACACACATGCACAAACAGGACCTATACATGGAGAGAAGTCAGAGGGGGCTGCTTTGGACAGGTGCCCCGAGCAGTTGGGGGTTCCCTGCCTTGCTCAAGGGCACCTCAGCAGTGCCCAGGAGGCTGACTGGCACCTCTCCAGCTACCAGTCCATGCTCATACTTGGTCTGTATGGGGACTTGAACTGGTGATTCTCCAACTCCCAAGCCAAGTCCTTATGGAGCCAGGTACTGCTGCCCTAAATTTTAAGTATAAATTTGAGGTAGTTGTACTTGAGATTCCTTCTCTTCCACTTTATACCTCATTTAAACCACTGATTCAACAGCAATAAAATAAAATTAAATTAAATTAAGTAAAATAAAATAACTTTTCAACAACTTTTTCACAAAAGTGTTCAAGACTCAAATTATCCCTAGATAGGGAAATAAAATTTCTGAGTGTACACACACACACACAAAAAAAAAAAACCACACACACACACAAAAAAAAGTTAATAATGGGAACATCTCAGCAGCTACAATATCTGTTTATACACTCATGTATAACTCCGAACAGTCCACTATTGATGTAATATATTTCAGGCACAGGGGACATTTTTCTGCAGAACGAGTACTTTTACTTTGACACTTTAAGTGCACTTATACAATAAAACTATCCACTGAACCTAAGTGTTTTTGTATTCAGCACCAAGACTATGAAACAGTCTCCCTCTGGGTCATTATATAGGATTTAAAAAACAGAACAAACAATAATCTTGTAGAATAAAACCTAATGCACTCTGTAAAACCACCAAACACATTCAATATGTTAATCACAGCTTTAATCAAATGGTGTGCCATTTTAAAGTGGTTATCTGAATGTGTGGGAGATGCTTTTATTTAAATTTTGTTTTGGTCTTTGCCCAGTTTATAAAGAAAGAGAGAAAACAACAGACAATGAATGCTGTTGACAAATATGGAAGCAACGGTCAATTTTAAACCACTAAAACTGGCAAAATGAATCCAAATGTCTTAGAAATGAAGAGACGTGAGGGTGAGGATAATGGAGAGAGAGATGAGGAGGAGGTTGCTTTGACATCAAATGAGAACAGAAGTGGATGCAGTTCCACTCAGAGCTCTGAAAACATAATTTGGATCAACATGGTCCATCTACATAACACTTGAAATAGCAGGCGGTGGAGTCAGTGTGTGTTGTTGTTTGTGAGTTCAGATAAAAGTGTCGTTCAAGTCCAAGAAGACATTTTACTTTGAAGGCTGTTTTTCCTCTCAAATGATACACATTTTGGGGGGGGAAATACTTCTGAGAATTACCAACTCTGCAGCCATTTTGCTCTTTGAAATCATATTTGGCAACAGAAGAGTGTTAGAAATTTAAAATGGTTAAAGTCATGCTCACCGAAGCGTACTTTTATCTCTGTTTTCCGCCCCGTCGATACAGGAAAATTCAATTTGCATTTATATTGGAAAATGATTTCAAGCCAAGTTGGCACCATCTGACGCACCAGAGAATAATGCTGCTATATGTCTCCAGTATGATGCTGCAGCGGGGGTTTTTATCTCTGGGTCTATAAAGTTAAACCAATGTGGAAGAGCTTTAAACTGTCACTCTTTCTAATGGCCAGCAGGGGGCGACTCCACTTGTTACAAATAAAGGTCTATGAGAAAATAATCTTACTTCTCACTTGGTTTATTACCTCAGTAAACATTTTCCTTGTGAGTTCATGGTCTCAGTCACAAGTTTCAGGTCTTCTGCAATACATCATGATGTTTATTTTGTAAATTATGGTCCCATTTAGATTAAAATAAATTATAAAGCAAGGTTTGCTTCAGAGTGTGGCTACCTCATGTTTGACAAGTTGCTACCAGGTGGTCGCCTTTGGTTCTCAGTCAGATCCACCCATTGCTCCTTCACAGCTCCACCCTCTAATCCAAATATAAGTCCAGCTGTCTTTAAACGAGTACTTCCTTATTAGCAGTGTCGTAGCTTATACTATTGTTAGAATTGGTCAAATCTGTTGCCATATCAAACTACAAATATTATTAATTACAAATAAACAAATTTCAGTCATTAAATGTGATCAGGTTTTGTTCCTTGCCCACTTTTTTGTCAGGACTGACTTGGCAGGGATGGCTGCCATCTTGTTTTTACATGGATTAGTGTATTGTGCTCTCACTACCACTAGATGGCACTAAAAAGTGTCCACAAACGAGGACAACAGGTCTAAGTTATGTCGAATGAAATATAAGGTCAAGTAACCCCACAATGTGATGTCCTCATATGAGGACACAGGGTCTCAGGAGGATATGGCATCAGTGAAAACGGCAAACACCAAAAGCTCCAATACAGTAACCCACAAACCAATGGGTGACATCAAAATGGCTATGTCCACTTCTTCACGCACCTTCAGGAGAGCCAATCCAGGCAGTTATTTTGGGCCCCCCAAAATAATACGAGAAAAGGGGCCACTCACATTGACACATTTTGCAATGACAAGTATAACCTCCCTTAAAATGACAATAAAGGCACTATACAGAGCACCAGCCGCTGCCCCTTAAGTGAGGCCTGTTCTTGCTACCATAGGATTTTTTAGCAAGTCATGACTATGTTACATTTGTACATTATTTTGTGGCAGATATGTTTCTCAGCAACGCTGTGGTGAAGGTGCGGTTAGATTTAGGCACAAAAAACACTAGAAAAATGTAATGCTTTGGCTTTAAACACCCACGTTTGGTGGCACAAAAGCTGCTGAAGGAGCGGAGATGGCTCGGTGAAAAACACCTCGGGTCAGTTCCTCAAATGCTGCTGGGATACGTCATGATGTGTCAGTGGGAAAAACAACCAAATTCGTGGCTCAGACCTTACAGTGCAACCATCAGGGCGTTGATGTACTCCTTTACCTGGGGGCCCCAGCGTCTGGGATCACCACTGCTCTTCTTTCAGGGACCTTCAACAATGTGTCAGAAAGAGATTCAGTGAAGGCATGTTGTACAAGAAAACATAAAGATTTGAAAGGTTTGACCTTCACTTCCACACCTTACTTAGTTTTTAAGTGAGGTTCACAACGTAGTTCTGATAATTTGGCTGTAATTTATTTAAAAATGACCATACACCGCTTACCAACACTGAAACGATACAGGCAATAACAAAAACATGCTATGTAAATCACAGAAATACTTTTTTCTTGGGTTTGGGATACTTATTAAATAACTACAATCTCATACAAAAGATTTCCCAAAGCGTTCTTCCTAAAGAGCTGAGGTTCTACCCCAAACTATTTGCTTCTGAAGAACCCTTTTTTGAAGAAAGGGTGACAAGCCGAAAAACCCTATATGGCTCTAGTTAGTACTTTTAGTTGGAAGAGTGTAGGCTACATTTGTGTTTTTACTTTGTACAGAACAGAGTCATCTTATTGCCCATTGGTTCTTGGGTTCTGGGGGTCCTGATCCCCACTAAGGGTCACCAAAGCTTCACAGGCGGGGCCTTAGGAAACTCTGGTTGTTTGTTTTTAGATTTTTTTTTAGGGCTTTTGCCTCTATTATAGAACAGCTGCAGAGTGACAGGAATAGAGGGAGAAAGAGTGGGGATGACATGCAGCAAAGAGGTCACCCTCCCCCCCAGTTTGTCAAATTTAGATCATTAATCAAGATATAAATATCAGTAAAACTCACAGGGTAAGGGCAGAGTGAAGAGCTGAATACAAGCTATGTTCACAGGACCTTCATG